AAGAATTCATTCCTTTTAGTCCCCTAAGGAAACATGTGGTGATGTTTTCTTGTAGTGCAATTCCTCTCCCTAAAATGAGTCCATTCTGGTTTCAGTAATTTTTGCAGTGCTGCTGTCTACTCCTGCCCTAAGCATAGGAGAGGGAAGGGTAGGGAGCATTGATTGCATATTAATAAGTACAGTACAGTAAGCTTTTGTGTGAGGGAGAGAGAAATGGGGAAGGGTTATCCTGGGTATATGAAACTACCAAAATGAAGATTTGTGACATTGCTGAGAGATGGAATGATGAAAACCTGCACTCTGGACTTTTCTTTTTGAGGAATCTCATTCTTATGGTGAAATGGCAGTGGGAAGTCTCTGTTTGATCTGAGGATGAGAAATCAGATATTGCCAGTCCATTTCCTACCTCTGCTGTGAGCAGGGTGACAGTGTGCTAGTCCTGTATCCCCTATATCCCTGCAATACCCTCCTGTAAAATGGGAGCTATTGAATTTCCCTCTTGTTGATTTATGATGCTAAATTTTACCATGTATGCAAAAACTGGGGACCCTTGGGGAAAGCGAAGCTTTGAACCCCATATGTCCCACTGTGCCCTCCATGAGTGCCAGTGGCAGCACCCTGTGGAGCAGCCTAGAGCTGGAGCAGGGAAGAGGATTGCTGACGAAATGTCTCTTCTCCCAGCTCACCATCTCATTGTGACAACTGCAAAAGTATGGGCTGGATTATCACAATTCTCCTCCCTACTTTGCTTTTGAAAACATTTTTTTCCCAAAAAAAAATGTTTTATCCTGCTGGACCAAAGTTTGAGTCACTCCTGCTCCACAAGTGTCCTGAGGATGACAGGTAACTCTCTGCCCCATTGCCATGCAGCAGTGGCACAGAACTCTGCTCCTTGGTAGCTGACTGTGCCACAGCTACTCAGACACACTGAACCTGAGCAGGGAGCCCACAACCATTAATTGTGTCTTTAACCCTCCAGCAGTGCTAGTGCCAGAGGCCACTCCTTGTTTCTGTCTCCATGTTCCAAACCCAGAGCACACAGCAGTCCTGGCAGTTGCTGCTGGGCATTGACCAGGCCCTCTGTCAGGGAGACAGGGTTTGATTTGAGAAAGAACAAAGTTCAGGGACAGATCAGGCTGCTGACAAGTCCAGGAGCAGCCCATAAAAAGTAACCCTCTGGCTTTGTTGATGAGACAAAATGGGGTTTGATGACTTTTTGTTTTGTTTGTTTTTTAAAGGGTAGACAGGATAGTCTTTTAATTAGTGTATTTCTGTCAAGCAAGCTGATAATTAAGGGAATGGCTTTCCATGTACGGTCTAGATTATGATTTGGTAATGTCCAGCAAGACTAATGCCTATGTTAAGGCACACTTTGTATGTAGGCCTTTGACACTATCCTTTTCAGGTAGACACACCTAAAAATCATAGTTTTCAAATATGGATTTCATTTCACTGTTGTTTGGAGATTATATAGTGACCAGGAAGTAATTTAAAAGTAACAGCTGCCACTAAGTTTTGGTTCTAGAAGACACAAGATCCCAGGTCAATCTGGGCTGTAGCAGCACTTGTGGCTGAGCAGTGTCATTGCTGCTGGACCAGTGAGTCCATGCCAGCTGCCTGCTCTGCTCTCTGGGGCTGTGCTGGTGAGCCCTGCCCTCTGGGCTCAGGGTCCCCTCTGCTCTGCTGCTCTTCTGTGAAACTTGCAGGAACTTCACATCCTCAGAACTGCCCTCTGCTCAGGCAGCTGCAGGTGGGCAGCACAGTCCTTCCTCACCAGCGGCAAAGAGCCGGGCAGTTGCCATGACACACAAGTCTTGCTTTTAGTAAACCAGGTTAACATTTAATCAGGGCTCATCCTCTCCTCTCACCTTGAGCCCCACAGGGTGGAGAATCACACCAATGGTCATTGTCTTGATCATAAACAGCTGCAGCCAAACCACCACGTCTGAGCTCTGGCTCTTCTTGCCAGTGACAGCAAAGCTGTGTGTGTGTGTCTTATGTTCTGGTTGTGTGTGTGATGAAAAGCCATTTTATTATCTATGATTTTCTTAGACTCTTGATATTTCAAACAGGATTGGGTATGAGAAAGGCCATGTGCTTCCTTTCCAAAAATATACTCAAAGATTTCAAATATATATATATGATTAGAAATATATAAGAATAAGAAGAAAAAAGAGCCAAAATGTGTATTTCTTCTTGCAGCTGGAGCTGAAATAGCTGCTAAGATTTCCTCTCCCCAGCTGAGAATTGGTACAGTTTGTTTTTCTTACATGATTTCCATGGTGTTGATAATGATGTATTTGTATATTGTGACTGATGAGAGATAATCAGACAGGGAAAGAGCACAGAATTACCTGTCCTTTTTTCCAGTCAAGACAGAATGTATGAATTTATTACGAGAAAAAAGTGTGCAAATGAACTTCCTGTAATTAGGCCATTCTGACCTGTGTAGAACCACACTTTGTTTGAAATTTATAAAAATTATAACTAGTACAAAACCCTGTGGTTGACGTCTCTATACGAAGCAACAAGTCAAATGAAATTTTTCCTATTCAAAATAAATGCATATCAGTAAACGCAGACCATCACAGCTGAAAAAATCCTCATACCCGTTCAGTATAACTTTTATTTGCCCAACACACATGTCACAAAAGGCACAGTGTGTTTTTTTTTTCCTTTACCCATCTCCTTTAGTCATGTTCCTGAATCTCTAGGACTTTTTGGATAAGTTCACACAGCTTAGAGGAAGTTGTAGGATGGCTTTATTATAGTTACCCCCGAGATATCTGCATGCCTTTGGCTACTAGTGTTTATTAGGGAACAGTAATTGACCCAAATACATGCTGTGGATAATGCAGAAAGGCAAACAGGTAAAAATAAGAATGCAGAAACACAATGCAAATCGAGCAAAATAAACTAGGACTAATTTCAGCCAGTATCCAGATTTCTGGGAGCAAACTTCACCTCGCTTGAATTTTCAAGTCATTGACCCTATCATGTTATTGCAGTGCAGTATTGGTATGAGAAAAAGAAGAATTAGGAGCACAGCAGATGCCTTTGTCCCACCCCCCCCAGTAGTCCCCATGGCAGCAACCCAGGGCTGGGAATGCAGCCGTGGGGGTGAGCAGGAGCGACGCTCTCCTGTTGCAGATCCCTGATGTGTGGCTCCGCAGGCCGGGACCTGCCCGTGCAGCTCCTGCCCCAGCCTGGCGTGGTCTGCAGGAGGCAGTTCGTGGGACAGAGGTGAGGTGTTGCCATTTGCTGAGGAGTGTGTTTGGATACATCACTAAGGGTAAGCCCAGCTGATCCACTTTCCACAAGCCCAGGCCTTGGAGCCAGCAAAGGCTGCTGACGGTCCCCAGCTGAGACAAGAGCCCATCTGGGGCTCTGCTCTGCCCTGTCTTGCTCTTAGCAGGTGCTCTGTAGAGATGGCTTGAGGTCACATCTCTCCCTTCTGTGCCTTAACATGAGGAGTGTGGCCCTAAAGAAAGTACTTTTTTAAAGAATACAGGGGAGGTACTGATTTACGAGCTGTGACCCTCTGCTGGTGCAATCTGCACCAGGTTATCAGAACTGGAGGGATCTTTTGACCTGGCCTTGCAGAGCCTCACGTCTCAGCTGCAGAGTGTGAGCCTGTCCCCCCCCCCAGTCAGCCCAGCACTCACTTCTGTTTTCACTTTCTTTCCTAACCATCATTTATGTCCTTCTGTGGTAGTTTACCGACAAGAAGCACTGGCCTTCCCCTCCCTCTCCACCTCCTTCCCAGCCATGTGACTGAGCACTCCCTGTATCAAGTGAAACTTTTCAGTCCCCAGGAAATCTTGATTTTCTCTCCGCCTGCTCCACGGTGAGAAGCAGCATCTCTCCCACCTGCAGCCGTGCTGGCCATGGGGAGGAGTGCACGGCAGCTCATCCTGCTGACCTTTGGCTGTGGTGAGTAACATCTCCATTTCTATCTGAGAAATCAGACAGATTATGCCAGTTCTGTTTCCTGGCAGTCAGGACAGCACCTAAAAGACTGAAAACTTTGAACGGTTTTGTTGCTAGCACTAAGGGTGCTTTTAGTGAAGTCTCACTGCTAAAAAATAACCATAACTACAGTGAATTGCAGCTGGTATAGATTTAGTTGGATGTTTTCCTCTGTATTTTTCCTTGCACTCTGTGGTGACATAAACTCTCTGTGAAGGAGTCAACTTAAAGTAGTGTGAGAAGCAGACTTTTTTGGCCTTGCTTTTCTTAATTAAAAATAGTTTCCAGAGCAGCAGAACTGACTGAAAATCTTGAGTGAGACAAGCAGGAAAGAAAAAACTTAGGAAGCATTGCTCTAGTCATTAATTCATTTGCATTGCAAGATGCAGAAACAGGATCAGGAAAGCAGGAGTGAGGCAAGGGGCTTGGAGAGCTCACAGGCTGGGGTTTAACTTAATGACAAACCACATCAGAGTCACTGTTTGACCCTTAATGCTGCTCTGTGAAAATCTGTGGAGCCAGCCAGATCAAGGACATCTCCCAGTGCTTGAAGTCACCCCTCAATGCCTGCAGCAGTACAAAATTTGCCCTGTGAGGAAGGACAGAGAGTGATTTAATCTGTGTAATGGCTGAAGGGGTTTGAGCTCACTGTTGGGACACTGGACTTCTGTGGTGGGTTTTGCCGTCGGCACACAGGGTTCACACCAGTAACAATCCCCGTCCTCCTCCCAGTGCATGAACAGGGAAACTGCCCAGGGACTCGACCAGGAGCAGCTCCTACTGTATCTCTCTGCATTCTCACGCCTGCTTCATAGCCAGAGTCTGCTGAAGTAGCCCCAAAACATACATATGAAAGGAGGGCAAGATCAGACTTGAGAAGTAACACTAATAACTCAGTGGTCAGGAACCACTTTTGACCAGAAAGAACTTGTTTCCTCAGCTCCTTATCCATTTTTGATCTTTCCTTTAATGATTTGTTGTGATGTTTTATTAATGTCCCAAAGCCAAGTCTTCTTGTGCACACAGGGAATTAAACATAATTAGAGTTTAAGGAATAAAGGTCAGATGAGTGGGAAGCTATGACAGTACTGAAACCTCTCAGAAAATCTTGGTGCTTTTCTGATTCCTCAAAGCAAACCAAAGCAGCCAGAGATGGTGAGAGTGTTTTCAGTGATTACAGGAGCTGGGTCAGGTTTTGTGTCCACATGGAATCAGTCAGCTAAACACGAGCATTTCTTCTGGCAGCAGAAAGCGGAACAAACCCACTGGGCAGCTGAACAGCATGAGTGTGGTTAGATGAAAAGAGGAAAAAATCCTCAGTAAGAGTTTCTATCACCCACCCTGTTGCAAGATGGCAAGCTGAGAAATGTCACAGCCAAATCATGGCACTGAGCACTGCCCTTCCCACCATAATGCCTGGGAGCAGAGTGGTGACATTCCTTATGATTGAAACTTGTCACCAAAGCATGAAAATGGGATCTCCAGGCTCAGACTGGGAACAGTGAATTTCTGAGACCTGCCCTGATCACTTTCTGAGAGTTTTGTTCTGGAGCTTTGCATGAAGGCTGCCTGGACTCAAACACAGCCTTCAACATCTGTGACATACAGCTTTGATGCTGAAGTAAGATGAGGAATTGCAGCTGCTTTCTTTAGGAAGATACACCCCTAGACTCTTGCAGCCCTCAAAATGTTGCTTGTATGAAGTTTTGAGTTGGCTTCATGGGAGGAAAAAAAAAGAAGACTAACGGGGGGGGCAGGTGGGGTGCAGAGCTGCCATTTCTTGTTGTTCTGCGGCATTTGTTCTGTTCCCATTTTGTGGCAGAGCCATGGGAAGGGCTGTGGTGGTGAGAGCTCTGCAGGCAGCTCCTTTGCCGAGCTGTGCAAACTCCCCAAGAGGAACGTGGCAGTGCTGAGGGAGACACAGGGAAGCCTTCCTGGCCTTAGCTGGAGGGCAGGTCAAGGACCCCATGTGCCCCCCCCCCCCTCACACAGCAGAGCTACTGACCTACCTCCAACAGCCACCAGAAAAGAGCCAAGACCATGAGGTGCAAATGGAGAGCAATCCTTACCCATCCTTGGGAGCTCCCATGGCCAAATGCCTTTTGAGAAGACAGTCCAAGCCAAGGAGTTTAGCAGCGTGGCCATGCACTGACAGAAACTCCAAAATACTTGGGAGAGCCCGGAGGAGTGGTCTGGTAGGTCACCCATTGAGCAAGAGCCATGGGCCACCCCAAAGACATTTCTGGCTTTACCCCTCAGTGACCCTGTCATGCTGAATAATGAAAAACTGTTTGTTTGAAATTACCTTTTGGGGATAACAAAGTTCCATTTAAAAGCTATGGGTGATATTCCAATGTCAGTTAAATAATATTTCTCTCCACATCTGTAAAGTGTTATCTGGTCAGTAATCAAAACCAACCTATGAACTAACAACTAATAAGTACTGACTTTATTTAAGACTAGTGCAAATTTAACTATGGGTTGTTTTACAGTCTTATGGGGAAGAAAGAGTGAAAATTGTAACTTCTTCTTTCCTGTTTTTATCATGCTGATACACTCAGATGCACCTACCCAGAGTTGGTTTATGGCAGCTGCTCTGACTTTCCACTGGCACACAGAGGAAATCAGTTATCTGCTTTTCAGCTCTGTGGTAAAGTCTAGAGGAAAGTCAGAAAATGAACTAAAGTGTCATATTAATTACACATTTTTACGTTCATTTTGATAAAAATCACAATATTTTTTAAGGTTTTTCAGCTGTCTCAAATTGCACTTCTTTGATGGTAACAAGCTACACTCACAGTCAAGTGTATCCTGTACAGCACAAGTTTTAGGAATATGAGTATATGCACTTCTGCTCTTCTCAGTCATAGTCATTTTTAAGGGAAAATTGTAGTGTGGGTTAAGATCTATACATCTGCTCGTTTCTTTGACTTTTGTCTTAAATTTGATTCAAAACCCAATAGGGTTTATTATTCTTATTTAGTTTATATGTCTCCTAAAATGGTGAGATTTTGTGAATTCACCTATTATTGAAGACTTCTGTTCTTCATGATGAAAGAAAATAAATAAAAGGAAGAACCTTTCAGATTTCAGCAATTTTCACTCTGAATGTGCTTTTGGCCTTAACCTATTTCATAAGTCAAATCTCAGCAACCTGCCTGCCACAAACTTTGACACCAGTTCATGAGAAGTTTCTTTGAAAGAACCAGTGTGCAATAAACTCAGAAAACATACTGTGGCATCCTGTGGAGCTGTACTACCAGGAATATGGCCTGTCTTGGACTTTTGGGTCCCTTTGGTCTCCAAACTAGAATGCATCTCTGTCTTCCAGCTAATTTAGGCAGTAAAGCATTTAACAACAGCTGAAGCTCCACGCACATCAAGGGCTATGTCACTGAATTATGTTTTCTTTTAGCTTGACCTTGCCTTTCCAGAGTCTTGTTGCATGCTCACAATCAAAGATTCAAGTAGAAGAGTTGTGACATTCTTCTGTTCTACAATGTACTTTCCCATTTTTTGTTCACTTCCTTATTTATATTTAGGAGCCAGATTTTATTTTTTTTTTCACTTCAGCAAGGGACATTTTTCTGTAAATGTTATTAGATGGAAGTGTAATTTTAGTCCTGTGACTATTTTCTAGTGTGGTCCAAAATGCCCCTGGATGCTGTACCCTGCAATTGTTCCTCATTGCTGAAAGCCCATCACTAAGAGGGATGGAGTTTCTGTGGGTTCTTCCAGGAGGAAGGGCTTCAGGGTTCACGCTGACATGGCTACAACAAAACCATAAATAAATATCTGGAATTTCCCTGTGTCCCAGACTGGTTTCCCAGACTGTTGTGAATCACTGTAAGACCATTGCTCTGCCTTCACACACACGTTCCCTCTCCCTTTACTTTGTTGGTAAGTAACCAACAACCCCTTTGCCTGTTACACCCTCTTCATCTTCCTTAGACCTCAATAATTTACTTCCAGCAAATCCTGCTGTACTACTGCCTGCAGGGAACTCTTGTGCTGCCTGAGGATTGTACATGGTCTGCTCACACCTCTGGTGTCCTCTGGCTTCTTCAGTGTGTGGAGAGCTGGGAGCCAATGTGCTGCCACTGCAATGGGTATATTCAGAGGTGTGAAACTTGGGGAGCGGTGCCAAGTTATGGATAGTCTTACAGGCTGTCTGCCTTCACTCTCCTGTCATGTCTGGAGCCAAATGAAGAATAAAATCATGTCACATCTCCCATTTGATAAGAAAACAGTGCAGTTTTGTTGTGGGGATGAACAGAAGTGTTAAAGGTAAAGGTTTCCAGACTACTGACTTTAGTTTCTTTGCAGCATTTTCCTCCTGCCTTGCTGAAGTGGCCTTGAGGGTTGAACTGTCTCCAGAAACCACATCCTTCCACGATATGGCTACTTCTGCTCAGCCACTTTCCCTTTATCATTCCTCATCCCATCAAAGCACCACAGTTCACTTTAACAGCTCACTCTCTCTTGAAACAACACCCACGAGCCACAGAACAACTGTGCAGACAACAGAGCAGAACCAGGAAACAGCAGCTCCTGGCCAGCACTCGACAGCCCAGGCAGGAGCTGGAACACCCATCACCACCACGACAGCAGCAGACAACACCAGTGCAGCTGGCCAGGCCACAACCCAGCCCATGCACAGGGTCACACCTGCAGGGAAGAACACAACCACCCCCTCTGTGTCCTCCGCACATGCAAGCACAGCAATGACAGCCACCAACGCATCCTTAAACCACACAACAGCAAATACTCAAGTGACAGCTGCTGCCATCACCTCTACAGCCACCATGCAGACGGTCAAAGCCACCACACAGTTGGGAAAACAAACAACAGCGACCAGAAACTCAACAGCCACAGCCATGACCAGCACAACAACCGCCCGTCCAGGGACACAAACAACCATCCCATCTACTGCAGTGACAGTGAGACCCACTCCTGCCCCACGGCCTTCTCCCATCCCCACTGGCACATACACCATTTCCAATGGGAACAGGACCTGCATCAAAGCAGTCATGGGTCTGCAACTGATGGGTCAAAATACACAAAAGGTGAGGTGGGAGCTGAGCTTTGTAATGACTGTTTCTTCATTAGCTGGAATTTATTCTTCTTTCCAAGGCATTTTAGAAGTTAGTTCTATGATTAAAATAAGTGGTCTGCTGCCAGTGAAGCCCTTCATGTGCCACAGCATCTCAGCTGCTGAACTTTGGTTTGTATGATGATGCCAGGGGGACATACACATGCTTTCTTATTTCAGTGATGTACATGTGGAACCAATACTGGAGCGGTAGATCAGCCTGAAACATTATTTGTGTTTCTTAGAATGGGAGACTAGTTAAAATCAGTGAAGGGCTTGATATCATGAGTTATAATGAAAGCAAGAAATTTCCAGTTCACAGACTGGGAATCAGAATTGGGTTGTCTTAATGCCAATGCATTGAGATTTTAGGAACACAGAAACTTCCAGGTCCTGGGGAGCTGGTACCCTCTCCTAGAAATGATTCACCGAGAATGATTCAGCAAAAGGTGTCATACAACCTGAAATGGTGATTATGTCCCTCAGACTTGTGATTTTGTAGCCTCCATTAATACAATATGTGGAGTTACATCCTCAGGCTCTAGAGCTCATATGCCTTGAGCCATCCCCGTTACAAATCCAAATATTCTTGTTTGGAGTCTGGATATTTCTAAGGTGGGATGAGTATCTGATGTTAGTAAAAGTAATTTTCATCCCTCATCCTGGCAGAAGCCACGTAGGGAGCATGATTCCCAACCTCAGCAGACCACAGTGACATGTTTATAATAACATAAGGTGTGTTTGAGATGAGACTGAAAGAGCAAAGCTCCATTCAGGGCTGCAGAGCTCTCCTTTCAGACTGCAGTATGGGCTGTTAGATGCTAAAGGTGATGTGCAGGACCTAATGAGTGATATGTGGAGCAAAGCATGAAGCCAAACTAACCCCTGCCTGCTTCTGTCTTCATCTTTCCTCTCCCTTCAGGCACAGGTTTCCACTGCTCTCTCCTTATAAATTACCGCTTGTACTCATCTGACGCTGCTCTGAATCGTATCAGTCCACTGAATGAACAGAAACCAAATATTTTCATATTTTCACAGCTCATGTGTCAGACAACCACCAGTGCCGGTTTACGAGTGGAGAATGACCCTTGCAGGCAGCAATTTGGCTGCCACCATCACTGGCCTGTTCATTCAGCCACACAGAGCCTGTCTGGGGGGGAAAAAACAAAGCAGATATAAATCTCTGTGTGTTCCTACAAAGTTCCCCTTCTCTTCATCAGCAGCCCTGCAATGTCTCTTTACAGGAGCAGATGGAGTCTGTGATTGTCAACCCCAATGTGACACAGACATCTGGAAGCTGTGGGATGGTGCAGTCTCAGCTGAACTTAACTTTCAGTGGAGGATTTGTGAACTTCACCTTTGTAAAGGTAATTGTTGCATGTAGAGGGAAGGAGTGTTTAGGACGGGGGAGCTATAACTCGGGCTCCCTTTGACCCGTTTCATCTCTCTCCATGATTGTTTTCCACCTATATATAAGGCACTATTACTCCTGTCCTTCCTAAAGGGGTAGAACCACAGATTAGTTCAGGTTAAAAAAGGCCTCTGGAGACCACCTGGTCCAACATCCTGCAGGTCTTGTTTGTTTGAACTTTAAGTTTGGAAAGGTTCTGCAATGAAGGGTAAGCATGGTGCCTTGCCATCCTTGGACAGAAAGTGCTAGAGAGCAGTGTTAAAGCTCCCCATCAAGTAACACAAAGTCTACAAACAGCCTCAAGCAAAATTTGAGTCTCTTTTTTACATAGTTAAGTGTCAGATCTGCTGTTTGCATTGGAGTGGTACAGAGGGAAAGGGTTTGGGACTGGAGTCCCTGCGCGGGAACAAGGTGTGTGTGCCGGGAGCTCTGACTCACTGTCAAGCTGCTCTTAGTCATTTGCTTCCCATAAAAGCCAACTGGGGTTGTTAAATTCGAAGGACAGCTTGCACAGTTTGAAGTGCCCCGGAGCCACGACACATCCGCAGCTGAAGGAGCCTCATTTCATCTGATTTCTGAGTGGAAAATTCCAAACAAGTGAACTCCAACAAAAAAATTGTAAATACGCAATTCGAAATGCACCACACCTGGGAGACCTCCAAATACGCACAGAAACTTGGACAAGATGGGAGGTCCTGCTTGCACAGTGGGAAAATGAGCTTTCTTTTTGACATTGTGTCTGTTGATACCATGGTCCCACTGGGACCACACTGCATGTGGGTGAGGCTTTAACATAAGATACCAAGAGTGCTACAGCTGTTATAGCCACAGGAGAAAATCCCTGAGTGCAGCCATCCTCTTGCTTCCTCAGGAATTCACACATTTTTGGAGGCTGTAAGGGCTGGGTGGTGATGCCAGCAGGGCTAAAGACAGAAGTTCATATTGTGTATAAAGTGATTAATGAGCAGGGAGGAATACAGGGTTGGATCCCATCAAATTCTGATGAGTGTAATGTGCATCAAGGCCATATCCTGGAGCTCCAGAGCTGCATCTGGCCATCACTGCTGATCCAAGCCTTTCAATTAATCAAGCCAAAGTGTCAATCTTACAGCCTGGCTTCAAGCTCAAATTAGAGATAATTAAGAAAAGTACAAATGCTTAGTAATTTTCATAGACAGTCCAAGAGGGAACAGCAAATTATACCACATGTAAGTAGTTAATTCTTGAACAGAGACAATATTTTAATTAATAATCATCTTAATTTTAGTTTAGGGCAAAAAGTTTCTTAAAAGCTACAGAGGAAAAGTGAGGTAAAAAATGAAGGAGCTGTTTTCAAACAAAAGCTCAGTTCAGACCATGAGTATTTGCTTTAAATGTGTGCTTCCTGCATCAAGGGGAGCATTTTGGTGTTACAAGAATCCTTAGAGAAAGGCTGGGGATTCAAGTACCCATGAAAGCCCCAGCTTGCAGCAGTGCTAAGGAGAATCATGTAACCTTTAGGAGGTGCTTGACCTGTCTTGCCCTCAAAAGGGTGGGTTTGGCACAGGATTAGACAACCTGTCCTTCACTTAAAGATAAGCCTCAAGAGCGCAGCAGGGCTCGGCTTGGACTGCTTTGAAATTCAGGTTAATAAGAAATCATGCTGCTGCTGGTTTTTATGTGTTTGGCCCCCACAGCCTCTCTCAGTGCTTTGAACCAGGAGTGCTGCAGCAGTGGCACTTCTGTCTGTCCCCCTGTGAGAGGAGCTGGGTCAGGGGTGGCAGAAGAGAGTGGCTGGTTCAGTGCTCACCAGGAGAGCTTGAAATAAAGAAGTTGTGTAACCCACCCACAAGAATTGAAGTACGAGCAGGTGTTTTCCCCAAGCAAAGTTTTTAACTGTAGCCAAACAGAACATAGTACTACCTCCCAAAAATGGTCATATTTGACCTATTTGTGTCTTGAGGTTGGAATAATGCTGAGAACCTCTTCTCTGGTGTATTTCTTTCTTAAATTTTCCTACTCCATCTTACCAGTTTTTAAACTGGATGCACAGGAGACATTTAAGTCTGCTGCCACTTATGCACCAGCTGCACTCACCAGTCCCTGTGTGCTCACAGCTGGAATTCAGCTGAGCAGTAGGGCTGCTACATATAGATTCACATCATGTTCCAACAGTGCTACCAGAGAGAAGCTCCCAGGGCTGGCTCTCGCTTTGTCATAGTCCAGGGCAGGACAGTATTCAGGCTGCACCACAGTTTCAGGGCACAGGCAGACAGGACACCTGGCTGGAAATTCTGCTCTGTGTTACACCAGGTGCTTTCCATGTCAGCAGTCTGCAGGCATATGAAAACAAGCCAGCCAGAACCAACACTGTCAGCAGGGTGGAAAGAACAGTTATTTCTCCCCTACACATCCAGGTTGCTGTTTTCTGGTTAGTAGAGACCATGGTTGGCAGACAAAATAGGAAATGAGTGGTACAAGCATGAAATGAGCTCCTGGCTCTCAGCTTGTTGGAGCTCAGCTTGTTGACCTCTCTTAGCTCAAACCACTGATGGCCACAGAAGTGCTGCTGCTCAGTGCAGTGAGCTCATGGGAAGGGCATCTGTGCATAAAAACACGGTGGCTCCAAGGATCCCCAGAACTGCCTGAAGGTGTGGGGTGGGTCCCACAGGCAGGGAGACTGCAGGGCAGCACTGCTGGATTCAGTTCAGGATTACTCAGCAGAGCACTGTAGGGGCTCAGCATGAAAGTGAATAAAAGTAAAATGGCCTTATGTCATGCCTGTTAGTTTGCAATGTACACTCTTTATTGAACTTCTTCCTACTTTTGGTTATCACAAGTATCTCACAAATGTCCAGTTTGAGCAGTTAGTTTAAAATGACACCTGCATGGTCCCATGTCACTGAACTGAGCAGAACTGGTGATGTAGCTGAGATTTGGAAAAGAAAAATACATCCAGAAGAGTTGTTTTTTGAGTCTTGAAGGTGCTACTTTGAATGTGTTCCTTTTGGAAATTGTGACCATTTTTCTGTGGTGAACTGTACTTTTTCCCCTGCAAATATGAGTATGTATTATTAATAAAGATATATCTTTTGCAGCAAGCTCCAAGTTACTTCGTCAGTAACATTGAGAGCAGAATACAGTTATCTTCTGAAGGTCAGTGATTTTACACTTAATTTCATATCAAACTGTGCTGAATGTGGGATAACCTTTCATATAATTAAAACACTGTCTTTTGCAAATAGGTGTTTTATCTAGCTTTCAACGTGCCATTCATCTAAACCTTGTGGTACGAAAATGGAAGAGAAGGGACCAGGCTGCAGTTACATCAGTGTTGTTACATTTTCCTTTTGACCTCAAAAACTTTCCCTGCCCCTTCTCTTTCAGAATAGAGATTGCTTCAAACCTAAATTTAAGATACAAAACAGTCCTCAGAGTTTTTATCTGCAAACACACAACAATGCTGTGACTTCAGTTCAGATGCATGTGTCTTTCTAATCTAATCAGCAAAGTGAATGAATACAGTACCTGGATCACAGAAATGAAGAGTTAGATACAGATTTTAGATAGGCCAATATGGAGAGGAGGCACATTTGACATTTTGACTTTGCAAAAAATAAGAACTGAACCCAGGCTGAAGTTCTTCAAACCATTCTGAAATACTAGACTCTGTCTGTGCTCTTCTCAGGCAATTGGATTTTCATTTGGATGGTCAGGTGGTCAGGTACATCCCAAGAAATGCTAAGGGAACATCATTTAAGTTAGAGAGAAAAATTCTGAGCCATCACTTCACATTTTCTCTGACATTAATTTTGCACAAATTCTTCCCAATATATCAAATCTATAATGACTCTATTATGTTGCTTCTCTGCTACTCATAAGTATTGAATTGACTTTTTGTCCCTGAAGGAAGAAAAACAAATCAGGAGCTCGACCAGGTGTGTCCTAGTAGCACTGACCTCAATGCCTATTTTCATTCTCACTGATGAGCATTTTATTAACTCAAGTGGAGTCTGTTCTGATCTATAGGAATGAAAGTAAAAGAAAAGCTGATCCAGAGGATGTCTCCAAGGAATGTTCTCAGTCTAACTGACCATCATTTTCCTGTGCATTGCTAAGTGCAAATTGCAGCAAATACAAAGTGATCAATTTAATCACGTTTTAAAATCCTCAGCTATACTTTGTGTCCCCCCAAAGTGGTGCTGATGAGACATTGCTCTCCCTGGATGTCTGTCACTGCCTCCCTGCCAAATGCTGCCATTTCACAGTCCACAAGCAGTATTTTTGCAGTGAGCAAGTCCCTAACTTTTCTAATATAAAAATGACTGAATTAACTGTACCAGCAGACACTGGTGTACTGATTTTGACTGAAGAGGACCAAGAGTATGCTGCACATGATGTGCTGGCAAGATGTGGCTGAGATACACTGAAGCAGAGATGGTGATATGGATGATTTTGTCTTAAACTGGCCTATCTGCTTCCAAAGGAGGATGTGCATAAAGAATATAACCAGGTCACAAAATCTTTTCATGCTTGGACCTTGGGCCATATTTTTCATAAAGTACTGTGACACTGAAATATATTTTAAAACATATTTAATACATAAAGTAATACAGACTAGTTATGTCAAATTTCCATGCTAGAGATGGTATCTCTTTTTTTGTCTGGAAATAGCTATGCTGGAGACTTAAGACAGTTGCCTGCTCCTGAGAGAATTCTAACCCCTTTGCAGACTCAAGTTGTTAAAATATGATTTGGAGAAGCAACTGAAATTTTAGTCACTTTTTTAGATCCAACCTCAGCTGAGTCACCCACGGATACTTAAAGCACTCATTTAAACTTGGAAAAATATAAATCATACTTTATGGGGAAAATATCCATGCTTTAGTCACATCAGTGACTGCTGCTCTGACAAAGCAACTGGGGATCCTCCATTTTATCTCTGTTGCTTCCAACAGAGTCAGTTGAATTCTCATTTGCCTCTTTCTGGCCTCCAGGTATGTTTTACTACGCAGCCTTAAACGAGAAGCTATTTACAACAAAGCTGGGGAATTCCTTTAAGTGTGCCAGCAGGCAAACCTTCACCTTGGAGAAGAACTTCCAGATCCTCTTTGTTCATATGCAGCTGCAGGCATTTGATATTGTTGGTAACCAGTTTGGAAAAGGTAAGTAGAAGGATACCTTTCCACCCTTCCAAGATCTACATGTCAGCACTCTGGTAGCCTGATAGATATAATCTGCTAAATTATACCCATACACAGGGGATGATCCTGCTACAGCACAGTCACGGTTTTGTATTTGTTCCCAAATAATGTAACCTGTCTGCTGCTGTATTCTCAACCTTTTCTGAGTCACTTCTAACACAGTGCTAATACCTATGGAGGATAGAAAAGTATCTTTCCCTCCTGCATTCAGTACCTTCTGTTTCACCTTCTCATGAAAAATGTTCAACTCTACAACCAGAATTTTATTCTTCACCCATTTTCTCCCAGAGCAAGCAGAGGTGTTCACCACCAGTGCACTGCCAAAACCCCCAACTTTACAGTTCAGTCCCAGGTCACTGTTCTCAATATAGTCATATTTTAGCTATTTTTAAAAGCTCCTGACACTCAGGTTGTCTCACAGCTGCAGCAGCAAAACTGCCAACTAATAAGGGATATTTGTGACTGCAGGATGATACTTTCAGAGCAGCTGTGTCTAGACATGACAAAATGTGCTCCTGAGGAGGATCACAATTAGCACACTCACAGATTCAGAATTAAATGTGATGCTCATCTCTGCACTTTGTCTTTTCTTGGAGAAGCACCACAAAGAGACAACCAGGTCTCTTAGTAAAAGACAGATCAGAGAGGTGGACTAAGTGGAACCTTGTTGTCTCTTTCACACTGTACTTGTCACTTTCTCTCAGGGTGTTTCCATTCCAGAATTCAGGTGAACAGAGGGGTTGGTCAGCTCTTCAGCCCTCCAGATGCACTAAAAAAACACTCCCTTTTCTGACACTTGCCTCTCTGCATGCTTACAAAATATTGCCCCTGTATTCTTTTTACTTTAGATCTGTCTTTTGACTCACTTTGGCTGTGTTTGACCAATTCTTCTTCTGTTAACTCACCATTTTGGCTGCTTTTCTCATTCTAAAAGGAATATAATGGGAAACGACAGTTGGGGCTTTTTTAATACATGGACCTTTTAAAAGCCACACTGAGAACTCAATTTATGCTCTCATTCTCATGAAGAATCTTTTCATGGGATAACACTGAGCTGGAACAACTCATGATATCCCATCTGGTCTCTACTCTCCCATTCAGCTTTGTACAATGAGTGATTTCAGTTATGGGATTTGGTATGGCCTCACCTCTAGCAGAGACTGAGTTGAGAAAGATGTTCTCTCTCTGTCTCCAAGATCAGGCTAATCTCTGCTAACCAATACCATATAAAAAGTTAAATTAGTTTTGCTTTTAATCAGAGAGCTGAGCAATCAGTTCTCACTTCTGAAATAATTCCCCAGTGGCTGTGAAATAGTCATGAAACTGTTACATACCTTGGCTGTGTATGCAGATTTTGATAGACAAAATCCCCACTTAAAGAATGGCTCTAAATACATCACCAGCCACCTCCCTTGGGTGTCTCAAGACTCATAGTTTCACTTCTGCTGCTCCTGATGTGCTTATCTTTAAAAGGGGAAGAAAAAGAAAACATTAATGGTCACTGGTTTCAAGTTCCTTACAATTTTGTATAGACTGCAGCAGTGTTACATCAATAGCTTGGCCTGTTAGAGTCTGGAAAGTTTAGAAGTGCCTTCCGAACTGTACTTCAGCATATCAGAAACAATTCCTAGAGTTCATAGCCCAAGGTTTCATCAAAGAAAAATGGCCAATTCAAACATCTCTGGCTTTTACAATACTTAAATGCAAATATTTTTCATCTCATTAACAACAGGTTACATTAACCAGACAAAGCTTTTAAAAGGCAACATCTAGTAGAGTGTTGATGCCTTTGACTTTGTGGCATCACCATCTGGATTAGAGAAGAAGTGGATCAGATTTTGGGAAGAGCCATGTGGAGGCTCTGGAGCTGTGACATGATGTCATGCACTCCACATGCTCCCTGGGCAAACTGCCCACTGTCAGTGTAAAGATTCCCATGGTGGAGAAGCCCAAGCCAAGCTACAATCTGTGCCAGCATAGTCACTGGAATAACAACAGGGGCTTTTATCTGAGAGTGCTGTCAAAACCTGCCTTGGAATAGTCACAGGGAGTGAGAAGGGCAGAGGGAGTTGGACCTCCCTCATACCCTTTCTATAAACTGGATTCACTGCTCAGCTGGGATATACTGAAGGGTTTATCTGACCACGATGCCCTGAGTCAGACACTGTGATCCAGAAATATTCTGAATTAACTGGGAGAATAATCAGAATTTGATTTTTCTTAGGAAACACTGACTTAATGAGGATCCTTGCTGTGCTAGTGATGTGCTGGACTATGGGCTCCCTTCTCTGGCCTGATCCTTTTTACTGGGCAGATGAGATGAGCAGCAGTTTTTGACCATGCAGGATGTGTCTTGCTCTTTATTTTTAGACTGGCATTTTGTAGTGTGATGCTCCCCATCTGCTACCAGCACGAAAGCTCCTGCTGTGTGTGTGTGTGTGCTGAGTGGTAAAAAAATTCCCACAGACATGAGGGAGTAGAGTCACTCTCTAGTGAAGCATGCAGCTACTGTGAAAGGGGCAAGGATGGTTTTCTTGAGATAAGGTTCACCACAGATAAAAATGTATAAAATATAGCTCTGGAAAAAGAAAGAAAAAACCAAAAGAAAACAATGTTTTGAGAACATCTGTCTTGTATTTGCTAACTGTTCTGGAATATAGATCTATAATCTTGGGGTACGGTGTTCTGCTATAACACAATCTCTGATCTTTTCCTTTCAGAAGAAGAATGTTTTCCTGACAGAAACAGCAAAGCAGCTCCCATCGCAGTGGGCCTGAGTATCCTGGGGTTGTTTGTCATTGTGTTTGTTACTTTCCTGATTTCCAGGAGGAAGCCACATAGAGGATACGAACGCATCTGAGGTGCCCTTGTACTTCCAAATGTGTGTAGCAAGCAGAGAAGTCACAGGAGTTTTAGCTTCTGCCTGGCAATCTCACTGCCCTGAAGCCACATTTTTAAGTGAGATGACACCATGTGTTTAAATCTAATGAATATTTCTGCAAGTACTTTCTTTAGGGTAGGAAGGAGACAACTCACATCCTCTACTTTAGGCTATTCTTAGCATCTAATTTAGATGTAGTCCAGATGACCAAAATGAGGAGCCTAAATTCTCTGTGTTATCAACAAAGGAGATAATTCAGACCACCTAAGTCAGATTCCTAGAAATAGCTTAAAGCAGTACTGGTATCCCCAAGAAAATCCATCAGGTTTGTTAATTATAATATTTAGATTTATTAAAATATGTAAGTCTGGTGATATGACTTTCAAATGAATAAAGCAGAGATCCAGAGCTATAGACAACCCTGTTAAATTAAAGCTCAGTGAAAGCCTTGTGGGAACAGTGTGTGCCAAAATCTCGGGGTAAGTGTCAGTGTGACTCCATTCACAAGCAAGTTCTCAGCAGTCCTACAACAGAGTTACACTTCCTAAGTGCTTGGGTTTTTTCCTACTAAGCCCTTTGCAAAGACACAGCGGTAATATGTGACTCTTACTCTGGAGCTGAATATGTCACAGTCTTGTGAGAGCTCACGAACCACCCACGTCCTGTTCGGACATGGACCTGTTACAGTGACCACCACTGAGCCCGGTAACTGCCCCTCTACTGAGATGGCAGCACTGGGATCTCTGAATCTGGGAAGATGCCACACTCACTGGAAATGCCTGGGATTCAGTGACCACCACTGTGGCAGATCTGCCCGAGGTCCATGAGAAATGGAAATCCACTGACATTGTATGTTCAAGGCTTCTATAAGAACTAAAAGCTTGCACAGCCTTGGACAAACTCTCTGTCCAAAAGTGAATGTTATCCAGCATGTTGGATGTTCATGTGGAAATAATTTGGAGTTGCTTTAAAGCGCATTAATTGATACACTCTGCAGCCTATTTCCTGCTAAACCAATGATGAAGGCATGAGAGTAGTAATTGCTTTTGAGGTTAAGTCCAGCTCATGTTCTTTGTTGTAACAAGGAAAAGCTCCTTGTCACAAAAGATTTACAAAGCAAATGTGCACATACACACACATACATGCATGTGCACACACCACACAATCTGCTCACTGAAGCCAATGATGTCCAAATGATAAGAAATTATATACAAAACTATTTGCAAAAGAAAAAATAACATTAAATAAGAGCACACGTCCCCCTAAGGAGTTAGGGTAATGGCTTAAATTTAAAGTTTGGCTTGGAAAAAGACTGTGGAATGGTACTCATTAAACGAAAGAAAGACTGAAATCATATGCAAAAATACGTTGATAGTTTAATCTGTATCTAAACAAAATATAAATGCTATGAGATAATTCAATTTCATCGAAGAATGGCCCAAATCCTGAGCAGATGTGAATGATGATGCAACCTCACTGGATTTTCACTGGGTAAAACTGGTCACTGTATCTCGTCAGTTTAATTTCCCTTAAGTATTTTTAAACAGTTTTGATATTTTACTAGTATTTAATGATTGTGAGTTTACTTCTTTAAATTGAGAATGAAAGGAAATATTTTAATTCCATGAATTACTAAAAGATGTTGGTCTGTGTGAAGTAGGAAACATGGTCATACTGTTCCATAATCAGTATAATGTGTAGCTGTAGAAATAATTAAATCTCCAAAAACATTCCCTTTGAATCCGAATGAACCAATAAATGAGAAAGATAAAGACAATTCTGAAGCACTTTTGCACTTGGAGAAACATCAGAGAGAAGTCAGAAGCAGCTGTGAGCACAGGGGCAGATGAGTATGTTTATAAGGTAAAGTAGCACAAGCAATGGGATACCAAACTTTCCAACCTTTAATATAGAGACAGTGATTTAACTGTACTCAGTTTAAAGCTGAGAATGGTCCAACCCTAAGCTGTTCTGCCCAGTGATCAATAAACCTCTCCCCCTCAAAGCTAAGTCGTATTTCACATGTTCTTTGGATTGCTGGGTTGTATGATCTGTAGTGTGTTTCTTGTGCTGACATGGAATATTTGCTTGTTCTGTTCTGCAAAATCGCTTTATGTTAATATTCAGTCTTTTAAAATATGATATGAGGATGAGGAGAGAAAACTGTTCCTAATGACTGCTAATTCTATGTTTAATCTTGTGACACCCTCTGGCATTACCAGTGATGCAAGATAAGTGTTTTTCCTCTGAGTTTTTTTATTTGATAAGTGTTTTTCCCCTGACTTTTTTTATTTCTACACTGAATCAACCTGGTGTTATTGAACAATGTTCAGATTCAGGTTTACCAGATTTGTTCTTATGCTTTTTATTGCTATTGTTTGCTATTTTTATGAAGCTGCATAGCCCTTTCTAGATGAATAATACTCTGGGCTTGCTCCAAATGTCACAGGGGAAGTGCATGTGGTACAAACCGATGAAACAACAGGATGCTCCCAGGAAATGCTGCCAACATGCAGCAAAATTAATCCAATGGAGTTAGTGCTTCACAGTAGTAGAAGATCCATTGGAGAATTCCTTACTGGATCAGGAGATCCCAACCCCTAAGTGCAACCTTTCTCCCACCTGTGGCCCGGTCTGCATCCCGTCACCTCTTCCTGATCACAAAATACAGCCAGCCTGCAGCAGGGATGTGTGTCAGCACACCAGCAGAACAGGGAACGTTGCCTCTCCAAATTTAATGCTAAATTAGAATTAGACAGCTAAGCTGCTCCCTTGAGCTGCCACATGCAGCTTTAAAAGCTGATGCCTGTATTTATTTTCCGCCAGAATTTAGGTAGATGTTTAGCTGGTACTTTTTTATCTAATGGAGCTACCTTGAGGTCTTCCTCCCATTGGGAAGACTCTATAGGGTTAATGGGCCTTGCTCTTGCCAGACCTGCTCTTTTAAATATCTTGTCTGAGGAAGGATTTTGAGCAAAAACTCCCTAAAAGAGCACAGTAGGAAAAGAACTCTTATGATAAACTAGTTGTACAGGAGGTGGGCCACAATAGTCATACTGTGGGCAGAAGGGCACAGTTTTGTCTGCTGTGGGAGGGGACAAGGCTGCAGTGGGTCCCAGAGTGACCAGTGCTGGTCTCAGCAGCCCCAGCTCAGACTCAGATCAACCCATCCCTGAACCAGAGGATTCTGGTCAGGATGACATGATGCACCAGGGCAGCAAAGCTTAACTTCTGTGCATGCGTGTGCTGGTCAGGAGACAGTGGGGCCATCACAGGAATTCGGAGGTGAGCACATCCCCACATCCCAATAGCTCCCTGGTGCTCTGCCACAGCTCCCACCCCAGACCATCCACCGTGGCCTCTTGCACACCCAAGGCAGACACAAGGACATCCCATCAGCATGACAATGTCATACTTAGCCAAATCTCCAAGGAGTTTATAAAGCAAGGTTTAATTTCTTTCAGTCCTTTTTGTTCTCTGATGGACAAGTCCAAATGAGGGAATAGCTGTTAATTCAGCTGAAAGAGGAAGGGAGATGTAGATCAGCATCTGGAGTGTCTGAAGGTGGTTTGGTTGATCAATTTTAGCTTGCTATAATGTATGGTTGCTAAAAATAACTTGCTATGAGAAGTAAGATATGCTCTTTATTTTTCTATTAGTGGTGTTTCTATAATAAAGGTTGTATTTAGTCATTAGAGTGTGCATTGCTGTGGTATTAATTTATCTTTTGAGTGCTGTTTCACTTGAACTGTTTAAAATACAAGCACAAGCTAACAAACGAGGAGGATCCTATGAGCTCTGGTCACAAACCACAGACACAGTTATGCTTATATCCTAACCATAACTTTGATGATTATTTCTTCTGTGGCTTGGGCAGCTCCTTTGACATTTCTATAATTGTTTTATCAGCATTATTAAAAAAAAAAAAAGGCATTGAAAATATTACATGATTTTCTGTTAAGCTCCTCACAACTTCTAGAGAAGCTGAATTCACTGTTTCTTTATATAACCAGATCTCTTCTTTCCTATTGATCCAAAACACAGACCACAACTCACAGCAAAATGAGATGGATGCTTGTTACTTCACGTTTAAACTGTTTTCACAGATAATAATCTTACGAATTATGGTAAGAGTCTTTTGAGGAGAATGCATCCTTTCAGCACACAGTTATGGAAACTGGAGGAAATAAATAGCTTGGAAAATACCATAAACTTGAGAAATCAGCAGCCACTATCATGGTAAATGGAATTTCCCAAAGGAGGCAGGCTGGACAAGATCATCCTTAAAGGTCTTTTCCAACCCAAACCAGTCTGTGATTCTTTGTGACTTTGCTGTGATTTTGCTGATTCTTATATCAACAGGCAGCTTAAAATATCGTAACTGCATGAGGTAAACTTCTGAATAAAAGGGGACACTCAAAAATTTTTCAGCTTCATCTTTAAAGATTTTTCAGAGGAACTTCAAACCAAATCTTTCTAGATCTACATTTGGTGAGCAACTGCAGCCAGAGCCTGTTTGGGGTGCATGTTCCTGTAATGCCTCTAAGGCTGTTGTTGGGTGGTCACATCCTAGAGCTGGGCTGGCTGGGAGAGAGAAGGGTGGACGAGGACAATGCCTTGTCAGTGGTGAGCAAGGTAAGGCTCTGAAATGGCTGAGTGAGTCTCACGTGTCGTGCTCTTCATGGCTAAAGAAGCAAAGGTTGTAGATGGACTGCAGGAAAGCAGAAGATGTGGTAAAGACGGGGGAGAAAACCCCATCTCTCTGCTGCTGGCAGCTGATGGAGGAACTCGGCTGTTGGAGAAGTGCCAGTGAGGGCAGCAAAGGGGCTGTAACTTCCCTCAGTGATAAAATATCAGAATTATGTTTCACTGGTCATTTCTGATGTCAGTGCACATCCCCCCATGATAGACAACTTATGGCTATAGATCACAGGTTGAAAACTTCACAAGCCCCTTGATTCGTCCCTCAGCAGAAAAGCAGAGCTGCCTGGGGAGCAGGGGCAGTTTGCTCTGCTCTCTGGCACTTGCTCGGTCTGGTACAATAATAAATTTGGTGCCAGGCTTACAACTATTTAGTGAATGAGGCTCCTCTCTTATTCGTGTCAGTTTTAGAAGCTGGGCACTGGTGTGTGTGAAGTAGACCCTCGAGGGCTGCTAGATGTCTCAAAATTCTCTTTCTTGACAAAGTTTAGTGGTAGATGAAGGAAGAGTCAACCATTTTTACTTTGAAGGCAAAAAGCCCCCATCCTGTGTCCAAGAAGCACAAAGGTTTGGAATTCATTGAAGAAACCTTTACATCAGAGTGTCTAGAAGAAAATATAAAGAGTATTTAGTTAAGCATCAGTTTGAGCAACATAACAAGAGTGAGGAGAGAAAGATTTCTAAGGAGTTAACCCTTCACGACCAAGGTGACAAGACACTTGCAGACTACACTTTCTTTCCCACAACCATCAGAATTGCACGCTAACAAGGCAGCGGCACGTGTATCTGAAGTTATCAGCCACAGCAACATAAAACTCCTGGGCTTTCATGGGCATCTGGGCTTTCCCAGTCGGCCACAAAATGCCACAAAACCTACATTTCTCTTTTTCTGCAAGTGTTATTGCCTATGAAGTTGGTAGATCCCAAGTACTTTATTAAATTATAATCTAATTGGCTCGGTTTCTTACTTACCTTTTTCTTCACAATTTTAAGAAAGAGTAGGTTGCATTTCCAACATGCAAAACCAAAATAAATGGCTGTTGGGAAAAAGGAAAGTGTTCAATCTGACGCAAAATATCTGTGTTTATTAGGCACACAGATCTTGGTTTTGAATCTCAAGTTTGCTGGGGCTTTCCTATACCACAAAAATTTGTGAAGATTATGCATCATGAGTCCAGCCAAAGTTCAACCTCATTTATTTTGCCACGGAATGACAGTTTTTTCATCTGCTCAAGGAAAATGATTTCATATTTCAAATTATGGTTTACACAATCTGCTCATGGGAGAAAATGATAATGAGAAAATTACTCATATTAGTAATCAAAGCAGCTTTCAAAATTCTTCCACAATAAAATTTAAAATGTTGCCCATTCAACCTACATGCATCACTAAGCTCATCGCAGTGCTTCTGTCTGTGTATGTGCACGTTAAACATATTACTGGTGTCAGTGAGAAAATTACTATTTTTTCATTTCAGTGTTATTGCACTGCACTTTCAAACGTTTGCATGTACAATCTGGTGATTCCACTAGACTTTGCAAGCCCTAAAAGCCATGCTTGCAGAATGCCTTCCACAAGCAGATTTGCAATATAAATGAGTTTGTAATTTCCATTAGTTCTGTTAAAAGCATCAACTCCTCCACCATCTCTGATTTAGGTATGATAAAATATCTATAGCTCTTCCCAATATTCAATAGTTAAACTACATAAAATGCTGCCATCTTGTGTTTAGAGATAAATTAAACATGCAACTTTAAAAATCTGGGTTTCAAAAGACTGTAGGATTTACAGTGTCAGCACATTATGTGAAAAAGTTTGAAGTGAATGAATTATGCAAAAGTGGAAGCATCACTTAATAATTTTGCTTTTAAAATCTTATCCTTAAAGCAAGTGCTGAGCCCACCACTCCTTGCAGTCAGGGCCAAAGGACTGTACAATTTCCCGAAGCTGATTTGGTGTCTGTTTAACCTACTTGAACCACCCAGTCCCTGGTGTGAGGGGTCACCATGGAAAATTAAAAATAGCAACAGTGGAACAAGCAGAGATTGCTTGCATATGTAGAATGCTTCTTATGTAAAAAACTTTGTTAATGCTTCAGAGTACGAGAACACATAAGACGTGTTAAACGCTGCTGCTATTGCAATTAATAGTTTGTGTATTCCTTTGGTGAAAAAGCATGGCTGGTTCACCATTTGTAAACAACAACTAGAAATACTTATTTTGACTGCGCCGGGGCGAGCCAGGTTTAGCAAGGCCCTGCAGTGGGGTGAGCTGGGTCTTAAACCAACAGATTTTGGGAAGAAATTCTTCCCTGTGAGGGTGGTGAGGTACCGGCCCAGGTTGCCAAGGGAATCTGTGGATGTCCCATCCCTGGAAGTGTCCAAGGCCAGGTTGGATGGGGCTCTTAGCAACCTGGGATAGTGGAAGGTGTTCCTGCCCATGGCAGGGGGTTGGAACTGCATGATCTTTGATGTCCCTTCCCACTCAAATCTATGAGCTGCAAAGCTCCGATGCCTGAGGGAGCAGAACGGACCCAGCCGGCTCTGTGTCCATGAGCAGGCGGAACGTGCTGATCCCACCGCTCCGTGACCTGCTTCATCCACACGGCGCAGTTCTGATCCGGGGATGTGAACCTGAGCACAGGGACCTTGTGGTACCCTCGGATCCCCGTGCCCTTCCCAACAACCCTCACGTTCACGTGTCGCTATTCCATCACAGCCCCGGATGTCATTCCCGACGGAGCGCGCTCAGCCCAGAACCCGCGCACCCAGAAACTCGGCAATTATAGAAAATTTATGTTGTCTGCTGTTTGAGGGCCCACTTTCTCGGCGTCATCCAACCGCGCCATTTCCCCGCTGTCCCGGAGGGGGCACCGGGCACGCTGCGGTCCCCTCCCCGTGACGAGCCCCGTTGCCCCTCAGGGCTCTCCCCGGTCCCCGCCCGCCGCGACCCGCCCCCGCCGCGCAGCCAGTGCGGGCCGGGCAGGGCCGCACACACCCCCCGCCCACAACATGGCGCTGGCGGCGGTGGCAGAGCGGGGCCGCGGCGGCCTCGGGGTGCTGAGGCGGTTGTGAGTGCGGGCTGGGAGCGGCTGGGCTGTGCCGGGCCGGGCCGGGAGCGGGAGGGGCCGGCGGGAGCCGCCCCCAGCGAGCCCCGAGCTGGGCTGCTGGGGGAGGAAGGGAGGGGGGCTCTGCTGGGCGTGTGGGGGGACAGCGGCGCCCCGGGCTGCTCTATAGGAAGGAAGAGCGAAGAAGCGCCCCCGCGGCTGAAGGGGTCGCTGTCGCAGCTGCCGCGGGTCCCGCGAAGCTGCCCCGGCCTCGGGGGTCTGTCCGCAGCCTGTGCTCACCTGCGACACCTGCGTGGTACAAGCTGGGGAAGTGAGAGGTTTGGGGAGTGCGCAAAAATCCCTCTCTCGTTATTAAAACTGAGGTTTAGTTGTGTGGTGCATTTTTGCTCCGACAGAGCTTCAGAATTGTCTGGACTTGATCCCAAATTCCAGAGTTGATTTATGGACTAATTAACTGCTTTCACAGTTTCATCCAGCCACCTCACCTTGGCTACCCCTTTTTGTTAGTATTAGTCGTTTGAGGTTTAGGTTTCTGAAAGTCTCCACAGCTTTTCTTTCTTGCTGCCTTCACGTTCTTTCTCTTGCGCTTTTTCTCTATAGAAAAATTGCCGTTTTAAGTGTTTCTATTCTATGGTTGTCCACATCTTCTTTCCCAAACACTTTAAGGTGGCCTCTCTGAGAAATGCCAGATGTTGGCTGTTCTGTCTGCTAAAAGACTTTTTTAAAGAAAAAAAAACAAAAAACTTGACTGTTTCTGTTTTAATGCTGCTAAAAAAGCAGGGGGATAATTTTTATTGTATCTAAATGAAAGCACTCGAGGAGCTATCTGGTGAAGTTTGTACAACTTTCCTTGTTGTACCTGAATATGTGAACAGATGTATCAAAAGCTTCAGAGCTATTTCAGTGCTGTTGTTCTCTCACCTGAAA